CAGTACTCAATTGTTTCTATTGCCATAAATTTGGATTTTTACATGTATGTGAAAAATAAAAAAAAATTGCTCTGGAGCCAAAACTGGTAAACGCTGCTGCGCTCAGAATGCATTAGAAGTCCTGTCTCACTTAAGGGGGCCTTGCTGCGTGACAGCAATGACAGGACACCATAATGTTGTTGTGTCACACTCACCTCTCGCGTAACCCAAGACTTTTGGAGCTCCACCCAACGAGGAGTGACGTTACGTCTGTGCACGTCACCCTTCCCATCCACCACACGAGGATCTCAATCTGGAAGGCCTGCTGCATAGCTGACGGACAGACATACGGATGGGCATGAGTGGTGCCTCATGTCTAAGTTTTGCCTAAGGCCTCACAAAGCCCAGAGCCTGCCTCTGCTGGTGGCCATTGTCTTCAGTAAAGTGATAGGAAACCCAAAACTGTACAGTTGTCATCAGAAGAGAGGGTTTGGGGGAATCTTCCAATCTTCCAATGGGGACATCTGTTCGGGAGAGTTGTCAAAAAGGGTTTTCTCCTGACTATGATGAGATTTCCACTCACTTCCTGCTGTGTCTCTAAAAAATGAAGTCCAATTGTTCCTACAGCCATTTTCATTTTTACTTTGGGCAAGGTGGAAGTGACAGTGGTTTTACCAGACAAGAATAAAAGGAAAATCTCCAATCTCCAGCAGCATCAAGATAGTAATAAAGATTGTTTTTAGTTTGGGCAAAGAATGAGCAAGGAATAGCATCCTTGTTGGGTTTTTACTACTATATGGGGCGGTGTTAGATATATTTTCCCTTGATAACTGTCACGGTGGCAGTTTTTTCACCAGACAAGAGTAGAGTGAAAATCTCCCAACAGCATCAAGATAGTAATAAATGTTTTTTTTTGTTCGGGCAAGGAATAGCACCCCTGTTGAGTTTAACTTGCTATATGGGGCTCTGTGAGATATATTGTCCCTTGCTGACCATCATCGTGACAATGGTTTCACCAGGCAAGAAGAAAGGGAATATCTCCAACAATGTCCTAGATCGTAATCAAGATTTTTTTTTAGTTTGGGCAAGGGGTAAAAAGAGAAGTAAAATTGTTCCTACGGCCATTTTCTTTTTTAGTTTGGCCAAAATTAACAAGGAGTAGCATCCCTGTTGGGTTTTTACTGCTATATGGGGCTTTATTAGATATATGTCGCCTTGCTAACCTTCCCTATGACAATGGTTTCCGCAGACAAGAGAAGAAGGAAAATCTCAAACAGAATCAAGAGAACAATAAAGATTTGTTTCTGTTTTTTTTTTTTTAGTTTGAGCAAGGAATGAGCAAGAAATGGCATCCCTGTTGGGTTTTTCCTGATATATGGGACTTTGTTAGATATATTTTTCCTAGCTATCTTCACAATGTCAATGGTTTTACCAGACAAGAAGAAAGGGAAAAGCTCCAATCTCCAACAGCACCAAGATAGTAATAAATATTTTTTTGTTTGTTTGGGCAAGGAATGAGCAAGGAATAGCATTCCTGTTGGGTTTTTACTGCTATATGGGGCACTGTTAGATATATTTTCCCTTGCTAACCATCATGGTGACAATGGTTTCACCAGACAAGAAAGGGAGACCAGACAAGAAACTCAAACAGTGTTGTAGATAGTAAAAAGGATTTTTTTAGTTGCGAAAGGAGTAGCATCCCTTTTGGGTTTATACTGCTATATAGGGCTCTGTTAGTTATATTTCCCCTTTTAACCATGTCCATGTCAATGGTTTCACCAGACAAGAAGAGGGGGAAAATCTCCAACAGTGGTGTAGATAGTAATATTTTTTTTTTTTTATTTTGGGCAAGGAATAGGCAAGATATAGCATCTATGTTGGGTTTTAGCTGTGTAGCGCTCCCCCTAAATTGCCTTGGTAGACATAGTTCTACTTGCTCAGTCAAAGCACGCACAGCCAGGCACATAGCATTTTCTTCACTCTTCCACTGGCTCAAAAAAACAGTCTAGGGGTGTCTTTGTAGGGCTTTATTGGCACGTTGAACTTGGATGGGATGAGGGGAGCATGGAATATCCCGAAACTGATGAGCTGAACACTTTGAGGATTCCTTTGCTATCTTGCTAAACTGGACAAAAATGTCCCATAGAATCTCTATGCTGACAATGACTATGACTTCTCCCAGAGAATAAAAAAGTTAGTCAGTCACTAGCCCTCCAGCACCTACTTACTTTGTTCTTCCTCCACTATATTCTAGAATCCTCTAGAATAGTTAGTTAGTCTGGCTGAAAATAGATTTTGACCCCTTTTTAAATATTGGCACTACATTGGCCTTATGCCAATCCAGTGGTACTAAGTCAGTCATTAAAGAGCCCCTAAAAATGAGAAACAATGACTTTAAAATAACAGAGCTCAATTCTTTAAGGACCCGTGGGTGTATGCCATCCGGCCAAGGTGCTTTATTCACCTTTATTCTGTCTAAATATTTTTGGATCATATCAATAGTGAGCTAATGTGGATCATCTGGGGCTGTGTCAATGCCATGCCCATTATGGACAAGAGCTCCCCCATGCTCCTTTGTATACACAGAGCTGAAGAAGGGATTTAATAAATTTGCATTCTCTGTCCCCAGTCACCCACTCTAGATGATTTTGTAAAGGGCCTACATGCTCAGACTGGACCTTTTTACTATTAATATATTTGAGGACTTTTTTGGGGTTGGTCCTGCTATCTTTTGCAATCTGACATTTTTGCAGCCTTTATTCCTTTTTACATATTCTTTGTAATGTTTGAACGATGATAGCGTTCCTTAATTTTTATATTTAATAAAAGCTCTTTTCTTATTATCTATAGCTTTTTTAACTTTGGCCGTAAGCCACATAGGTTTGATTTTTAGCCTTTTAAACTTGTTGCCCATGGGAATATATTTTGCAGAGTGTTCACATACAGTCTTTTTGAAGAACTCCCATTTCTGTGTTGTGTTCATCAATGCCAATATTCCCTCCCAGTCTAAGGCTTGGAGAGCAGCTCTCAGCCTTAGAAAATTAGCTCTCTTAAAATTAAGCGTTTTTATTTTTCCCGTATGTGCTTGCTGTTTACAGCTAACAATAAATGAAATCATGTTATGGTCACTGCTACCCAGATGTTCTTTTATATGGATATTCATAATAGGCTCTGCATTGCTTGAGATTACCAGGTCCGGCGGAGCATCATTCCTAGTTGGGGCCTCTATGAACTGTACCATAAAATTGTCCTGTAGTAGGTTTAAAATTTTTTGCCCTTTTAACTGTTCCTGCAGTACCATTACTCGAGTCAATTTCTGGGTAGTTAAAACCCCCCATGATTATCACTGTCCCAGCCCTTGTAGCCCTTTCTATCCGTGCAAGGAGCTGAGTCTCCACCTCCTCATTAACACTGAGAGGCCTATAACAAACTCCAATGATTACCTTTGTAGTACGCACCCCCATGTGCAGTTCCACCCATAGTGCTTCAGCCTCATCACATCTTCCATCAACTAGGTCCTCTTCCACACTAGCTCTGGGATCACTTCTCACATAGAGACAGACACCACCACCTTTCCTATTTACCCTGTCTCTCCGAAAGAGAACATAGCCAGGAATATTAATGGGCCAGTCATGTGAAGAATGAAGCCAAGATTCAGCAATACCAATTAAATCATAGTTCTCTTCATGCACCAAAGCTTCCAACTCACCTATTTTGCTTGGCAGACGTCTGGCATTGGTGAACAAACACTTTAATGCATTGACACCTTGTTCACACGTATTTTGCATATATTTTTTTTTTTCATACAAATGGTACCAATTCTACTGGTTGTTTGTAACATGGGAACCTTCTTGTCTGCCATAGCCCTCCGCCCATCTTTCCCCATTCCACCCACCAATAAGGACTGACCCGTCTGACCTGTCTGCCCCATTATAATCTAATTCTCCTCACCCCCTCAATCCTAGTTTAAAAACTCCTCCAGCCTCCCCATAAACCTCTCCCCCAGCACCCCCCCTTCCATTTAGGTGTAAACCATCTCTAGCATATAGATTGCACCCCAATGAAAAGTCAGCCCAGTGCTCTAGAAACCCAAATCCTACCCTCTTACACCAGGTCTTTACATACAGGGGGAAGTAATCAGAGCAGCAGCCTTTAACCACTTCCCATCCGGCCGCTGTATATAAAACGGCCAGACGGTGGCAGTGCAGGGGCGGGTTGCCGTTCAAAAACAGCGCCCGCCGTTTTGGATTGTGCGTGCTCCCTGGAGGAGCGAGCGGCACCACGATCCGGTGCTCACTGTGTTCTCCGGACACAGCGGGACACCGATCGTGGTACGGGACCTCTGCGTATGGTCCCGATCATGTGATCACTGATTGGCCAATGAGTGATCACATGAACAGGTATAACCAAGATGTCACTTCAGACATCATTGCTTACTATGTGTGAAATCTGTGAATGATCACAGAGGTCACATGGTACAAGGCTATTCACAGCAGCCTTGTACCATGTGACAAGTTGTGACCAATCACAGCTCTCACAGTACTTCTCAATGGCTGCAAGAATGCAGCCAGAGAGGAGGAGAAATGATTGCTTTTACAGCCTGTATGGGTGTAAATGTAATCAGTGTAAAAAAAAAAAAAATCTTCATCACCCCCCCCACAAGTAGTACAGTGTCACTATGGTGACACGTACTGTAGGGTGACAGTATGTAACAAAAAAAAATAATAATATAAAAAAAAATAAATGTAAAAAAAAAAAAATTTTAAATTATAATTTTTGGTTATAAACTAATTTATGGACAAGATTTATGAAGAAAAATTATTTATTTGCAAAATTTTATAAGAAAAACACTTTTTTCAAAATTTTTGGACTTTTTCATTTATATAGAAAAAAAAAAAAAAACCCAGTGGTGAATGAATACCACCAAAATAAAGTTTTATCTGTCTCAAAAGAATGCTAAAAAATTCATATGGGTACAGTGTTGCATGACCGCGCAATTGTCATTCAAAGTGCGATAGCTCTGAAAGCTGAAAATTGGCCTGGACAGGAAGGGGGTGAAAGTGTCCGGACTTGAAGTGGTTAAGACACTGAGTAGGCCTAAACAATCAATCCCTGCTCAGGGGCGGACTGACCATTTGGAAACTTGGGTACTGCCCGAGGGCCCGGGGTCAGTAGGGGGCCCAATGAGGTGCCCCTGGTACCTTTTTCATAGGCTTTTTTGAGTTTGGGCAAGGACACAGGGGCCTAGTTCTTTTCTCCCCAGGTGAACTGTCCCTAGCCTGCCCATTTTATTAATTGTATTTCTCTTTTGTCTATCAGGAAGTCTCAGCATCATATGTGGGCTCAGGGGCGGACTGACCATTTGGAAACTCAGGCACTGCCCGAGGGCCCGGGGTCAGTAGGGGGCCCCATGAGATGCCCCTGGTACCTTTTTCATAGGCTTTTTGGAGTTTGGGCAAGGACACAGGGGCCCCATGATCCCCTATTGCCCGGGGGCCCCATGAGTTGTCAATCCGCCCCTGTCCCTGCTCCACTGATTACAGAGGAGCCAACTAAATTTACCTAACAACCTACACTGCTCTAGGAGGGTGCTACACCAGCTATATGGGGTTCTGTTGGATATACATCCCCTTGCCAACCACCCCAGTGACAATGGTTACACCAGACAATAAGAGAGCTGACCTCCATATCCCCTCTCAGCTTTGTGCTTGTTGCAGATTTTCCTTCATTTTCTATTAATACACAACTGCCTTACGTGATGTATTTATTATGTGAAATGCTCAATATAAAACTAAGGTTTTTAAAGGGGGTAAAGAAAATACAAAAACAATGAAAAATAAATCTACATTTGCTTAGCAAAAACATGGTTTCTAACAGGGGGGTTCAAATCTTAACATTTATGAGCTTGTTTGCTCTGTCCAAGGTAAATAGCCTTTCCTCAGCGGGAGGAAATCAATAACGATTTTTCTTTCTTGATTAATAATGCCCTTGAAATTCAGACATCAATGACCTTCAGATGTTGCACCTTTTACTTCTAAGAAGAAGACGGCTCTAATTGTAAACCCAGGGGTTCCACCGGCATCCAGATGCTTTAATTTCTCTGCATGTAAAATGTGCAAAGCTTTAATTTTCAGCAACGGTTAATGGGATTCTGCACATGGAACATCATTACATAGATGTCAGCCCCCTCCATTTTATCAGTGAGATAATGACCTAGCTCTGTTCTTTTCTAGCACTTTTTTTTACACTTTAGTTTTATGGAAGAAGGTGTTAAAAAAAGTGCAGATTATAATCTTGCTGATGACCCAGTGTTAGTGGCTGTTTTTATCATCTGATCTTGGCATCCGTTTTATTAAAATTGTTTAATGTTTTGATATGTGAGCCATCTACCAGATCTGCATTTGCAGAAACAAACTATTTGATACTAAAATGGATGGAAGGTCTGGTAGGTCCTGCCATTCTACTGTCTTGATTGAAGGTGATATTGAAGGCCATTTGCAGTCTGATTATTTTTTAATTTCTAGTTTAGTCTGAATAGAGTGGGAAGGGGTGGGAGTACTATTCCATTTTTACGACAGTTGACCACCCCCTCCTCCTTAATAAACTGCACTCCCTTGGCCTCAGAGACTCCGCTCTCTCCTGACTCTCCTCCTATCTATCCCAATGCTCCTTCAGTATTACCTTTAACGCCACCACCCTCCCTCTCTCTTCTCTCCCCTCTCTGTTGGGGTCCCCAAGGGCTCTGTCCTCGGGCCCCTTCTCTTCTCCATCTACACCTTCTCCCTCGGCAAACTGATACACTCCCATGGCTTCAACTATCACCTTTATGCCGATGACACGCAAATTTACCTCTCCACCCCTCACCTCACCCCTTCAGTCTCCGCCCGTATCACCTGCCTACTGAACGACATATCAGACTGGATGTCGCTCCATTTCCTCAAGTTGAACCTTTCCAAAACCAAGCTTTTAATTTCCCCCCCAGCCCGCACCCCCCTCCCCCCCACCCTCTCCATCACGACCAACAACGCCACCCATCAGTCCCACCCCGCAAGCCAAAGTTCTAGGTGTCACTCTGGACTCAAACCTGTCCTTTCAACCCCATGTCCAATCGTTGGCAAACTCATGCAGGCTCCACCTCCGCAACATCTCCAAAATACGTTCGTTCGTAACCCCAGACACTACTAAACTACTCGTTCACTCCCTTATTATCTCATGCCTGGACTACTGCAACTCCCTCCTCACCGGCCTACCTCATCGCAGACTATCCCCGCTTCAGTCTATCCTGAACTCAGCGGCCAGACTCATCCACCTTACCAACCGCTCCGCTTCTGCCACCCCCCTCTGTCATTCCCTCCACTGGCTTCCAATTGCCCAACACATTAAATTCAAATTATTAACATTGACATACAAAGCTGTTCATAACGCTGCCCCAAACTACCTCACCGACCTGATACCCAAATATCACCCAACCTGTAATCTTCGCTCCTCACAAGACCTCCTACTTTCTAGCTCCCACGCCTGACTGCAGGACTTCTCCAGGACTTCCCCCATCCTCTGGAACTCACTACCCCAATCCATCAGACTGTCACCTACTCTCCTCTCCTTTAGGCGCACTCTGAAAACCCATCTCTTCAGGGAAGCCTACCCCACCCTCACTTAACAGCCGATCTCCTCCACTCCTGCTACCGCTCCATCCCCCACAGCCACTTCCTCCTGTACCTCTACCCCTCCCTCCTAGATTGTAAGCTCGAAAGAGCAGGGCCCTCAAACCCCCCCGTGTTCTGTTTTGTTACTGTATTGTCTCATGTACTGTCCCGCACTATAATGTACAGCGCTGAGCAAACATTTTGGCGGTATATAAATACTGTATAATAATAATATAATAATACTGCTGTCTTTATTGTAGCTGGGGAGATTTTTCCTCATTTCCTGTCCCCATGTTGAGGGTTAGGCCCAAAAAAGTTTTAAATTCAGAAACCGTGATAGGTTTCCATGTGAATTGGCTGGCAAGAATTGAATTTGTTGTGTGTATAAATTGCTTTGGCCCACAATCAATTGATACGAATCTTCTGTGAAAAACAACGGAGGGTCTAAACACTAGTGCTGGCAGCGAATGGGGCTGATCCTGCTAATATTGCATTTTTGGGGACACTATACTAAAGGGGCACTAGTATAGTTCTGTTCGTGATCAATATATTGATCCGTACAAACACTGTACTAGTAATGGGGATGATCAGTGACCCATAGCGTGAGTACGGTAGTGTGCGGGCAATCTAACGCTAGATGACCCTGGCTGGGAGGGGACCCTGATGCTATCTGTTGTCACTAGTGGCAGGAATACAGTGATCAGTGAAAAATTCTATATACTGACACTGCACTAATGGCACAGGCTGGGTGATGGGACAATCAAAGGGTTAAATGTGCTAATCTAATGTGTGTCTGTGTAAAATGTAGTGCTTTTACTCACAGTATGGTGTTCTCTCTCTGTCACTGGACTGACAGGGTGGGCAGTGGGGGGCTCACGAATGCGAGCTCACACCCGGAAATAGATTGCGACAGAAGGGTACGTCGCTTTGCCCAGAGCCACCGCACGCCCATAAATAGCAGGTGAGCAGTCGGCAAGTAGTTAAAAAAACCCCCTTAGATTAAAACAAAAATGTTTCTTAATATTTACATTTTATCATTTATCTAATAAAAAAAAACTTTTATCAGAGTAGTACAATGTTACCATAGTAACAATGTACTACTCTTGGGGGTGATCAGGGTTTTTTTTTTTTTGTTTTACACTTTGCATTTCAGGTGCAATAAAGACCACTGCACGTGCAATGCAATGCCTGCTTTGAACTGTCATGAATGGGTTAAGTTCATGACAGTTCAAAATACTAGTGATCTCTGGCTACAGCTAATCACACGGTACAGGGTGCTGTGATTGGCCCATGTACCATGTGAGAACTGTGGACCAATCACAGCTCACTAGGAAGGGAAGCAAAGCTGTTATGATTAGATTGATTCATAACAGCTTTGTTGACATTGTGATCATGTGATCGCGGGGGGGGGGGGGGTTGGTTTCACGCAGCGCCCCCCCTCCCGTGTTAGTACAGCCAGTGCGATGTACATCAGTACAGTACATCGAACTTGCTGTACATGCTGCCCGCTCCCCTGCAGTACAAGTACTGTGATCGTGGGGGGGGGGGGGGGGCGGTTGTCTTACGCAGCGCGCCCCCCTATGTTAATACAGCCAGTGCGACATACTGATACATAGCTCTGCCTGTACCAGTACTGTGGGCACATGGCAAGTAGTTAATATGTTAATGTTCAGAATTCCTAGTACCTCGCACCAGAGTGAAAGCTGGAGTATATAGTATTATTATTGTTATTATTATACAGTATTTATAAAGCGCCAATAGTTGGCTCAGCGCTGTACATTACAAAGGGGGACAGAACATGTGACAGAACAATACCAATACAATGCAAAACATGAGGGGATCGAGGGCCCTGCTCTTTCAAGCTTTATAATCTAGGAGGGAGGGGATGGTGGCACAGGAGGAGATAGCTGTGGGGGATGGAGTGGTAGGAAGAGTGGAGGAGATCGGCAGGCAGGGGGTGGGGTAGGCTTCCCTGAAGAGATGGGTTTTCAGGGTGCGCCTAAAGAAGAGGAGAGTAGGTGATAATCTGATGGGTTGGGGTAGGGAGTTCCAGAGGATGGGTGACACCCTGGAGAAGTCCTAGAGGCGGGCATGGGAGGAGGAGACCAGGGAACTAGAGAGAAGGAGGTCTTGTGAGGAGCGGAGTGTGCGTGCTGGGTGGTACTTGGATATTAGGTCAGTGATGTAGTTCGGGGCAGTATGGTGGACAGCTTTGTACGTCAGTGTTAGGATTTTGAATTTGATCCATTGCGCAATCAGAAGCCAGTGGAGGGATTGGCAGAGGGGGGTGGCAGAGATGGAGCGGTTGGAAAGGTGAATGAGTCTGGCAGCCGTATTCAGGATGGACTGAAGCGGGGATAGCCAGCGGCGAGGCAGGCCAGTGAGGAGGGAGTTGCAGTAGTCGAGTCGTGATATGATGAGGGAGTGGATGAGCTGTTTAGTGGTTTCTGGGGTTAGGAACGTGCGGATTTTGGCGATGTTGCAGAGGTGGAGTCTGCATGAGTTTGTTAAAGATTGGACTTGGGGCTGGAAGGATAGGTTGGAGTCCTATATAGTATATCCCTAGTTTGGATTATGGGTCCAGTCTGAAACTGTAGAACCGTCCTCAAGTTTGTTTTTTTTGTTTGTAACATGGAGGAACCCTTGATAACAGTTTCAGGTCTCAGGGAGCCCCTGCTAATAATTACTATAGTAATGTAATGTAGGTTAATGAGTGCATTTGACACCCGGGACAGCTCTTTGTGACTCATAATTATTTTCAGTAATAATAAGGAAATGAATTAAATAACAACGGCCAGAAAAGAAATGTAGACAGTGAAGATGATGTTGTTCAGTGGAGAAATGCGCTCTTGCTATGATGATGATTAACCACTTCCAGTCC